TCTGTAGAAACAGATAGCAGGTCGGTGATGGCCTATGGCTGCCGATAAAGTGGGACTGACTGCAGAGAGTCACGAGGGAACTTTCTAGAATGATATAATTGTTCTATATCTTAATTGGGGTGATGATCTAACAAGTGTATACATTGGTCAAAATTCATCACTGTACAGTGAAAATAAGTGCATTTTATTGTATGTAATTTATATTTTAATGAAGTTGACTTTTAAAGTACTTTTGAAAAATTACCAAGCTAAACCAAAAAAAAAAATGCTTTAAAGAAAGAAGGTAAATAATGATTTTAAATATGAGTCCTAATTTAATGTCAAGAGTGTGGATGCTCTGAATTGCATCAGTATTTTTAAAGCAGACTGTTTCTCACATGAACTCTGGATAGCTGTGCTCCAGGAGGAGAGGCAGTAAGGACTGATTTTGAAAAAGCAGCTCCAGGAGCTGCCAGTGGATAGCAGGGAGGCGAGGCAGGAGTGCATGGAGGAGCAAAGAATTGATGGCGTATGACACACCCTAGGGCAGTGCCCAGTGATCTGTGAAGGGCCAGGTGCCTTTTGTTGCTGTTGCTTGCTTGTTTATTTGTTTTGCAAACCTAAAAAAATTCCATCTGCTAGAGGTCACAGAAATGTAAAATTGCTATGAAAGTTCGACTTATTCTCCATATACGTGCTAATGTCGTCGAGGATCATCAGTGACGTGCATGGATTGGTGCTGGTGCGCAGAGCACACTTTCAGCAACACTGCCCTGGGGGCTCCTGGAACTACTTGGGGTGCACTCTGGAAGAGCCTGAGGTCCTGTGTAAAGCCGACAGAGGCAGAAGCCAAAGACAAGTGGGTCACGATTATAAGCGTGGTCCTGTTTGTACACAGTGGGTGGTGAGGGCTGAGGAAATGTGCTTACAAAGATTTCAGAAGAGGTACAGGAGGATTACAAAGCACTGTTTTGGAAAGATTCATCTGGCAGCACGCCAAGGATGGTCGGGCACAAACAGACTTGAACCCTGGGGACTGGTGAGGAGGTTGATGCAACCGACCAGGTGGGAGGTGGGTGACCGGGACTGAACCACAGTAGAAGCTGTGGAAAGGAGGAGGGCAGAGGAGGAGGAAAGGAAGGGTCAACAATGACTGGCTACGTGTCAGGGGCCTGGCGATGGAGACAGGGTTAGAACTGACCTGTGACACAGGAAGGGGCAGATATTCTGAGGAACAAGGGGAAAAATGGGAAAAAAAACTTGAGTCTGGGGCCTCCATCTGCTCTGGGAAATAGGAAGTGGGCTCTTGGGTGTGCCAGCGCTTCCTGCCCTGGTGGCTCCTGAGGGCTGACTCTGCCTGCCTTGGCCCCCTGCCCAGCAATCCCTGACCCACTGCCACCCACAGCACCACCCACAGTGGATGACAAAGGGAGACAAAAAGAAGGGTGCCTTTGTTTATGCCATTGCCCCGTGCCTGGCATGCGAGCTTCCTCTCACCTGTTCTCTACCTGTGACTCCTCCTCACCCAGGCCCAGTCTTGATATCACTGCACGAGGAGCCAGGCCCTGCTGTATGTGACCATGACACTCAAATGTATTACAGCACATATGTCGCATCACAAGGCAGCTGCTCATACGTCTGTCTGCCCTCCCACAGTGCAGGTTCATCGCAGGGGTTGGATTCAGCTTCCATTTCAATAACCTTTAGCACAGTGCCTGATGCAAGTCACTGTGCTCAGGAAGCAACATAAACAAGTGAGGACGGAGCACATTAAAGGAAGGACAAAGACAGGCAGAAAGGTCATGTGAAGTGGGCTCAGCTGGTGTGGAGGTGAATGGGAAGCAGAAGTCACACGGACTCTGCTTTTCTCTGCCCTGTGATGCACGTATGTCAACTATTATTTGAAACTGAACTTCCACAATCCCAGACAATTTAGCAGCTCCTCTCTGAATGAAAACACAATTGTCAGCCCACCCACAGACATTATTGTCTCAATTTGGGCAGCGTCACTCAGAGCACTCTCACCTTAAAAAACCATAGGAAACCGGACTGAGGCTGAAACTGACCACTGATGGGGAAGTCACCATCTTTAATCTGAGAAAAAGCAATAAAGAGAAGCTTGAAAATCCTTCAGGTTGGCCGGGGCGGTGGCTCAAGCCTGTAATCCCAGCACTTTGGGAGGCCGAGGCGGGTGGATCACGAGGTCAATAGATCGAGACCATCCTGGTCAACATGGTGAAACCCCGTCTCTACTAAAAAAAAATACAAAAAATTAGCTGGGCACGGTAGTGCGTGCCTGTAATCCCAGCTACTCAGGAGGCTGAGGCAGGAGAATTGCCTGAACCCAGGAGACGGAGGTTGCGGTGAGCCAAGATCGCGCCTTTGCACTCTAGCCTGGGTAACAAGAGCGAAACTCCGTCTCAAAAAAAAAAAAAAAAAAAAAAGAAAATCCTTCAGGTCTACTGGTGCTGAAGTCCTTGATATGATTTCACATCACCGACTGAAGAGGTGGAATAAAAACAGGTGGAATTGTCACAGACCTGAGATAGAAGCGTAGTTGCAATGTGGGATCACCCGCTCCTGAGGACGGGGAGTGGATGGCACTCCCAGAATGCCCTAGGGTGTATGACCCAGTTCATTCTGATGGGTTTGTTCCCTTGCTATAGAGGATGTTTATGTTTTGAGTATCACCTCTGCCCACCACCCTTTGGCAGGAGTTATCACAATGATTTCCTAATCCAGAGAAAAGGCTTCTGCAATACAGAGAGAAAAGGGATTGAGATCCCAGGGGGAAGTTACTAGAACAACCAGAAAGGAAGGGTTTCTATTGGAAGCAAGGATTTCTGGACAGAAGACTTTCGGTTCTGAAATCAAGGAAAGTCTTGCGTAAATTGGCATCATTGGAAGGGACCTTAGAGATCATTGCCAAACCCCCTCTTTCATAAATACAGTCCTGGAGAGGGCTCACGTTCACACAGCGCCTGTGGTAAGGCTACACCTGGAGCCCAGGCCGCCACCTCCACCTGCAGGGCCCTTTCCCCTGGTGGTGCTTTCTTTCAGTACTGTCAGGATGTTTGCCTTCTTCATTTCCATAACTACAACTACTTTCTTGGTACTACCCAAAACAGGAAGGTTTCCAACATCGAAGTGCTAGATGGGCAGGATGGCAATGTCCCCCACAGTCCTGTTTCCAGGGACAGGAGAGGAGTCCAGATGAGAAGAGCGCTAAGGGAGCCATCACTCACCCCACAAGTCCCTGCTGCCCTGCGCGAGGTAGGCTGTACCTCCCAACTCGTTGACTTGCTCTCTGACAGCCTCCACAGTCTCTTTTCTGAGTAACAGAAGGCTCTCACCCAAGCCTGAGCCAGTGAGTTTGCCTCTCTCTTTCCCTTGGGCCACAAATAGATACAAAGACCCAAAATGAATAAAATTATTTTTCTGTGCCACCCTTAGCACAACAGGGTGAGAGGGGAGAGAGCAAATACTTAAGTGGAAAAACTCAGAGACAAATCGTCCGGAGCTCCTCCATCCACCTGCAGATGGCACCTCTAGTTTTCCTTTCATCTCACTCCTTAGAGGACCGAGTAGTGAAGTCAGCAAGAGATTTCTGACCCAGCCCTCCTGGAATCAGTGGTCGGAGAGTGCGAGGTCCTGGCATCAGGAGTCCACAGGCGTCTGGGGTGCGTGCTTCCCAAAGGACGATAAGAGCAGGGTGATGGACGGACAGCTACACCTTCACAGACTTAGAATCCAAGAGCACAGAAAATGAGCAACTTCTCCTGCCTCTCCTAAGCCCCAGGCTATCTGTTTACAAAGCTTCTCTCCTCTCTCTTCTCATGCCTGAATCTGTTCAGGAATGTCACATTCCAGCCTTTCTGGGACGACTACATGTCACAGTGGCGGCCATTGTAATGCCTCACATCCCGGAATGTGGCATCCCTGAATGAGTCAGGAAGGAGTGCCAGCTGTGAGAGACGAAAATCTGCCTCGTGCTGCTTCATCCTGGGATCATGGGGCTCAGGCCATTAGGTGGTGCATTTTAAGATTCCTGAAGCAACATGCAAGGTACTGTCCAGTTAGGTAGAGAAAAACAGAGAAGCGGGACTGCAACAATAACAATTTCACTCTCATCACCTTTGATTTATAAAGTCCTTTCATAGCTAGGGTCTCAACTGATTGGTACAATAAGTATCCTTGTGTGGAAAGCAAGGCTGGTAGAGCTGAGGCTGGAAATGCCTCAGGCCTTGTGCCTGGAAAAGAGCAGACAGGACCAGCAGCTGAGACGTTGGCGTCATACAGACTTCAGGGCTCTTCCCACTGCACTGTCCATGTCCCTCCTTCAGAAGCAGGCATGCTGCTTAGTCTGTAATGTAGACAGGCAAATACACAGGGGCTTTTCCAAAAGGCTGAGATAGAGACATTGCACACAGCAGTCAGAGGCACCGGGGTGGGGGTCGAGTAGCCCCCAGCTGAGTCCTGGCTCGGCCCTCATTGACTTTGACCAAATGATGCTACTTAAACTCTGAGCCTCAATATCTAGTTTTAAAATGGATACAGTCATGCCTACATCATAGATTTTTACATTAAGCAAAATATGGTCTTGGAGACAGTAGAGCATTGTGGCTAAGAGCTATAGCGCTGGTGTGAGTAGACCTGGATTCAAACCCCAGGTTTGCCTCTTGCTAGCAATAAGTCACATCACCTTTCTGAGTTTCAGTTTCCTCATCTGTAACATGGAGATAAAACCTCTACCTGTTTCACAGGATTGTGAGGACTAAGGGTGAGAGTTTATGCAAAATAGCTTATCTCAGTGCTTGGCACAAAATAGGCACTTGATAAATATTTGCTGAATGATGAACTGAAATGACTGGCAAGGCTGGGATATAAAACAAAGACTGAATAACTCCAGAGCTGGGGCTCTTAACTTTTATGGAATGCTGATTCTCAAACATGCCAAGCACCTCCCACCAGATAATTGGGGTGAGAAGCATTCTTGCAATAGCTGGGTAATTATCCTCAAAGACCCTTCCAATCCTCAAGCATCCATGAGCTCACCTACTCTCTTGGATACATCCCAAAGGGCTTCAGAGAAGAGGAACTTGGGGAAGGAATGTACCTTCCATAAGAGCTATGTCACCACACAAGGGGAAAATTGGGCCAGCACACACACTCACACACACACAAGGTAGATGTGGCCCCATTCTACAATTAAGATGAGAGGTTTCTGTCTTCGAGACCATAGAGAGGTGCTGCCCTATGAGAACACCAAGGCCCTGAGAGGCGAAGCCATTTGCTTAAAGCTGCACAGCCAGAGAATGGCAAAGCCAGAACTGGAATTCAAACCTCCTGACTTCCATCCCCAGTTTCCCTGCCACCGCCTCCTTATTTACACAGGCTTTCAAAATCATTAGGGCACAGAATTAGCTCAGCACTAAGCTTTCGAAATCCACATGATCCCTCCCACTGGTCCTCCTGAGGACAAAATCACTCAGGGAGAAATATGTATTAAGTCTTTTGAAATGGCAGAGAAGGGTGTTCCCTCAGATAAGAGCTCCTAAGAACACTAGAGCTGAAATACTGATTGGATCAGCAGATCATCTGGGCCCCACCTCTTGTGCAATTTTTGTCTTTTTTGGTATTCAGATGGTCCAAGGGTCAGGCTTCTGAGCCGATGTTCTCTGACAAATGCATTTCACATGCCTGTGCAGCCCTGACCGAGGAGTGACAGTCCTGGATCAGCCCTCCCCAGAGGTTCGGAGAAATAGGTTAATCCAGTCCGCAATCAAATCTATTAGGAAGGGCCCCACCAAACAAGTCTGTGAATTCCAAACAGCAGCTCCCTTCACACTGCCCTCCCCACGTAGGTCACTGGCCTGGCTGGATGACAGATACTGGAACCCCAGAATGTCAGTGCTGGGCGGCGGCTCGGACATGTTCTGATGAAACTCCATACCTCTCAGCTGTGGGAACTGAGGCCCAGGAAGAAGAAGGGACTTGTCCGAGGTCACACTGTGGTCTCAAAAGGTAAGGGTTTTGTTCCTTTGGCCCACAATCTCTTTGATCATAAAGTAGTAGCCTGAGGATTTCAGATAACAGAGCATGTGACAAAGAAGCCAGAGGTCCAGGGCAGAGAGGAAAGAGAAGAGGCACCAAGCAGCCTCTTAGTGACTGAGCTTCTAGGAGCACCTGGCACCCAGAAGTCTCTGTCCCCTGACTGTGCAGCAATCCTAGTGCCTACAGCCAGATGCTTACATAACATGAAACCACGCCTACATCAAACACTCACCCACCAAAACCGGAAGTGAGCTTTTCTCTTCTTCACACCTCTCAGCATCTGAAGCTGGATCTCCTGCCCAGATATGTCAGCTGGAGAAAGAACATTTCAATTTGCAATTGGAGACATGTAGGTTTGCTGCAAGGAAAGACAGTCCCAAGTTTTGGAGCTGAGTGATATTACTAAGGAATTTCCTTCTTTTGAGAGTAATTTAATTTAAATACTGGGTATGGGTCTCCAAGAACATATAGTTCTGTAATGGAATAATCTATAAAGTTTGCTTGAACTGAGTCATTTGCTTCTGTTGAGATTTGAATTGGAGTCAGATAATTTTTTTATTTTGGTTGCCAGGAGTGGAGACTCACCCTAATATGTAGTCCTTGGAAAGACCCAGTTAGACAGACACAAACAACAGCCACCACCCCTCCCCCCCAAAAAAATTAATACTTGGATGTGGGTCAAAACTGAGCACAGAATAACAGAACAAGTGCTGTTTCCTAAAGTCACCTTGAGGAGCTGCTGGTAGAGGAAAGCTTTTTGTTTCAAAGACAAAGATAGCACAAGAACCTCCGTAAATCAGGCTCCAGAAGCTACTACCCATCCCCTCAAGCTTCAAGGTACAAAACCTTCAGATTTTTGTGAGAAAATGTTTTAAAACAAATCTTTGAAGTTTAAAAAGATAAAGAAAGGTGTGCTTTCCAGAGGATTATGTAACGTTCTAAACTACAGTCAGCAGGAAAGTTTTGTCCTCCCAGAACACTAACCTGAGCAAGCTCATTCTTCCTATCGTAGACTCCCCGTGACAGGTAAAGAACCAAGCAGGGACTACCAGGAAAGAGCTGGATACACAGAAATCACTCAGCAAATGTTTGTGTTACAAATAAGGGCAAGAACTTGAACTTTTTATGCAATTTAAACTAAAAATTCATCCTGTTCAAAGCTTTGGAGAGGTGTAGGAGAAATAAATGCCTGATTTAAATTGACTTTCAACAGAGACTGAAAGTGGCTGCTACCGATCCTAAGGGCCATAATGCAACTAACATTTATTGAGTGCCTCCTGTATGCCAGGCACTATGCTAAGTGCTTCATCTTGGTTACCTCATTAAATCCTCAGGATAACTCTGTGAGCAGGTAATTGTCATTGGCTCCATAGTACTGGAGAGGGAATTAAGGATTAGGGAACTTGAATAACTTGCCTAGTAAGTAGCAGAGCTGCTACTCTGGGATCAGAACCTATGCCTTCCAACTTCAGAGCCTGTGTTTTTTAAACCATTATGTTCGACTCCCTGCCAATTTGAAGAGCTTCTTATAATCTAGTGAATTAGGGCACTGGGAAGAAAGGGTTTTTTTACTTTCACAAACTAGCGGGAACTAGCTTTAAACTCATTGTATGTTGCTGAGTGATGAAATTTGGCTCTGAATCTGATTCAAGGAGTGCTGGCCTTCATTCTGCAAACAGGTTCATTCATTCAAATGCATATTAGCACCCAGAATATGACAGGATCTGTACTAAATATAGGAAATATGGAAAGAAAAGACAAAGGGGATGCCCTCAGGGTTTCCCAGTCTAGTAGAGGAAACTGACTTGTTAATCAGTTACCACCATTCCATTGGGTAGTTGTGGTTGCAGGCGTGTGTGCAAGGTCCTTTGAGGATCAGAGCCAAAGGAACAATTTAGCATGGCAGTTATTTAAGTTCATGGATTATACAGAGTATCAGGCCTGAGAGCAAATCCAGGTGACTTCATTTAACCAGCTGGGCAAGCTGAACAAGTTCCTTAATGTTTCAAGCTTCAGTTTTTATCACTTTTTAAATGCTGACAGCATATACCTCACCTGACAGTTACAGGAAGCCATCAAGGAAGACCAGTCTGGGAAATCAGAAATGGGTCTACACAAAACTTGGGCAGGAAAGTAAGTAGGAAGTGATCATTTCAGGAGGAAAACCTTTGGACAGAAGCAAGAAGGGGTGGATGTGCATCTGTGTCCGCGTGCTCAGGGAAAAGAGAAGTTTGCTATTTCAGAAAAGATCCAAGACAGAAGCTGAAGATGCAAGAAATGTCAGAAAAGAAAACCAAATGGAGGAGAGAGAGATTATTGGTATCCAGTAGTTTGAGCACAGGTATGCAAAGATGTAGGTGCAAGGAATTGATTGCAGTGTTGTTTGTAACAGAAATGAATGAACACATGATTGAATACATAAATAAGTAGGAACAACCTCAACATCCAGAGGAGAGTGGCTAAATAAACTATGATATAACCACATCATAGGATAAGCCTATTTAGACATTTGAAAAAAATGAGATATGTATGTCTACATAGATTTACATGGAAAGACATTTGCAGCATAGTGTTAAGTAAAAATTCCAGTTACAAAAGGGCATATTAAAATAATCTCAAAATTTTAACTGTGTAAGCAATGGTGCAGAAACAATTTTACCTAACTATTTAGAGTGGTTACCGCTGGGGATTGGCATCAAGGCAAAAGGGTATTGGCGATTTTTCACTTTCTACTCTGTACACGTCTCCAATGTTTGAATCATGTATAACAAGAGCTATTTTTATATTATGTTTATAATAAAATTTTTATTAAATGTTAAAGCCTCAAAGATGTGGAATGGGATATTTTTTAAAAGAGGCTATTGGGAGGTCTTCGGCTACTTATCAAAAAGCAGAGTCAGTAACAGAGTGGTAGCTCTGAGAAGAGAAACACAGGAGGGAGGTGACAGTGGAGTTGGCAAGTGGCCGCTTGCTATACCCAAATGTCAGATGAAAGAGAGGGAGCCAGGGAAGATAAGAAATTGAGGGGTGCTGCAAAAGCCCTTGTAGGTAGGTCCAGGGAAGAGGAAGGGAAAGATAAAATCAATCCAGTGGAAGGGACACATTTAGTAGTAAAGGAAGGAAGGCAGGGAGATGGTGGTTGACAGTCTGAGAATTCTGAGAGATTGATGGGTGGCCTCAGACTTATCAGTAAAGTGGACATGAGGTTGTTTCCTGAGATTAGTTGATGGGGAGTGGGATGGTGGTAGACTTGGGCTGGAGGCTGGAGGAGGTTAGAGTGCTTGACTTCTGATTGTGCTTAGTAAGGGTGGGAGCACAATCCTCAATAGCCCCCAGCCAAGGCTCTTCCCACTTGCAGAACTGGGTGGTCCTCTCATTCCTGTACTCCACAGTCCAGCTTTCCAGACCTCCTTGTGCCCACCACCTTTAGCTCCCTCCAGGCACAGCTCTTTGTTTTCCACAGCATCCCTGGGGATGTGAAGGTGAGCCAGGGCAAGAGGGTGGGTGGCCCTTGGCTGCTGCTGCTAACAATGCTGCTTCCGAGTATTTTGTCCCTAGTGGAATAGGACTTTTTGTTAAGGGAGGGAGAATGGGTGAGGCTCGGTAGAGTATGCTAGAAGTGCCTGAAGGTCCTCAGAGCCCGTCTTTCCTCACACCCTGGGTCAGCTGGAGATTATCAGACCACACGTCCTGGGTTTTCTGTCTGAAACTAACCAGTAACTCACCAGTATTGATGATTTTATTGTTGCTGAAATCATCCTCAGGAAATGGCACTTGGAATGTGGAGGGACAGAAGGAGGAAAAGGAGGAAGGGGGAAGAAATGAGAACAGAAAAGGAGGAGGTAAGAAGTCTCCAAAAAATTGGGGGGAGAGAGATTAGCAGTATTCAGTACTGTGAGCATAAATCTCAGAGGGAAGTAAAGAGGAGCAGGTGATAAAACAGAATGTGTGCCCTGGAGCCAGAGGATATAGAGTACAGGGCGAAGCACATTAGTTATTTACTTTAGGCAGTAAGAAGTGGCAGCAGCTGACAGTTTTTACTACTGAGGACCCATCTTCTTCCTGTCATACTTGGAGGCTGGCTCAGGAGAATGACTGACCTGTACCCGGGTCCTCCTTCGCCCTACAAACTTCTAAGGTAGGCTTATGTTTAGGAAGAGCATCCACCCCAGTTTAAAAACTTGAGTCAGGGTATCTCTGCTGAGCCAGACTAAAATGACATCCAGACCAGATGAAATTCAGTCAGAAGCAGACCAGCATCTGGTGATGGCAAGGCTAAACCTTCTCTACTGCTGTGTTGAGATTCAGAAGACTCTGGGCCAGTTCCAACAAGAAGAAAAGATCTAAGATACTAAGAAAAGAAGGCTTGGTGTCTAAGAATACCAGAACTGAAAGAATTTTTTTTTTTTTTTTAGACAAAGCCTCACTTATTCTGTTGCCCAAGCTGGAGTGCAGTGACACAATCTCTGCTCACTGCAACCTCCGCCTCCCAGGTTCAAGCGATTCTCCTGCCTCAGCCTCCCAAGTCGCTGGGATTACAGGCTCCTGCCACCACACCCAGCAGGAGTGGTGTATTTTGTATTTTTAGTGGAGACCGGATTTCACCATGCTGGTCAGGCCAGTCTCAAACTCCTAACCTCAAGCGATCTTCCGCCTTAGCCTCCCCAAGTGCTAGAACTATAGGGGTGAGCCACTGTGCCTGGCAAAAGGAATCTTAAAGATTGTTAAGACACAATTTATTTCTTTCTCCTCTGACTCTGTGGCACTTTTTGCAGAGAGCATGTTGTATTGTAATTTATTGTCATGCATCTATCAAAAAACGTATTTTCTCCACTGTTGCATTGTCAAAGCATGGCATCTAGCACAGAACACGTTTAATGAATGTTTGTGTTTGTTACCTCCCATCTTACCCTCTCATTTTACCAAAGAGAAAAAATAGTCCAAAAACCTAAGGGACATTCCAAGCTACT